AGTAGCGATGCCGGGAGCTACTAGTAGCGATGCGCTTGCTCCTAGTAACGATGCCAGGAGCTACTAATAGGAATGCCCTTGCTCCTAGTAGCGATGCCAGGAGCTACTAGTAGCTATGCCAGAAGCTACTAGTAGCGATGCCCTTGCTCCTAGTAGCGATGAGAGGAGCTACTTACCCTGAAACTTCCTTCGCTACAAAAAAAGCGCTTGTTTTGCAAAAGTGCTCGTTCAAGCAAAACGCGCTACAAACACTCAAAAAAATCACATGGATCCCTCTCTTATCCAACCCATATTGGGGTGGTTCGCCACTTTTAATTTGCGCTCGTTCTGCGGCAATTTGCGCACGTCTTGCGGCATTTTGCGCGCATTTTGCGGGTTTCCAGCTTTGGCCCAAGAAGACTTCAGTCAACATCTTGAAAAAGTGCTCGTTTCATCAAAAACCGCTACGAAACTCCAAAAAGCGATCATTTCCTTGGTTCGCCAGAAAGTGCTACGATTGAAGGATCAGGACTAGTAGCGATGCCCTTGCCCCTAGTAGCGATGCCAGGAGCTGCTTGTAGCGATGCCCTTGCTCCTTTAGTAGCGATGCCAGGAGCTACTAGTAGCGTCCTTGCTCCTGTGAGGAACTGTTGGAGCAATGTGAGAAGGCTTGGCCCAACAATTCCTGGGAAGTGGTGCGAAACAGCTTCGAGCTCAGAGTTTTTTTGGTTCGAGAGAGACACACAGCGAGAGCAGCGAGAGCACTGCGGATTTGCAGTTGTTGGAAGATGTTTCGCAAGAAAACTTTTATATGATTGAGGTAAAGGTCAGACGGTTGTGGATGCAGCTCGTGTCAACCGCAAGGGTCAGGCGTGTTTGACCAAGTCTCGACACACAATGATATGACAAAACCATTCTGAACCAATGTAAACATATTATGATGCAAAGTCTTCTGATTGAATCATGCATTCTTGGCACAATAAAAATTTTGCCGTTGGCTGCACCTCGCAGGTGGTTGACTTTTTGTGCGAGCGCCTGGGCATTGATGTGAAGGCATGTGGACGGGAGCAGAGGATCTGAGATGCAGCAAGAAAGGATTGGTGCATTCACAATTATTGACATGCCATTTGTAATGTACACATATTTCATCACAAGACTCAGGGAAGTTATGGCATCAGACGTCAAGACATGACGTCAAGACCTGGGAAAGAAACGCATGGGTGGCGGATTCTTGCTACTAGTAGCAAGGTGCCTTACTACTAGTAGCTTGTTACTAGTTAGGCACCTTGCTAGTAGTAGCTAGACGCTATGGGTGGCGGATTCTTGTGGTTTCTCCATCGTCGCTTTCTGCGGCTTCTCGGCCTCAGACGGTGAAGATGCCAGAGCCAAAGAGCGTGATTCAAGGCCGATGCCCAAGGCTGTTCTGATTTTTGTTTTTCTGTTTCTGAAAAGCAAGATAGAGGACGCTACTAGGGGCTCCTGGCATCGCTACTAGGAGCAAGGACGCTACTAGGGGCTCCTGGCCTTACTACTAGGAACAAGGACGCTACAAGGAGCTTTTTCAGAAGTAAATGGTTTGACGATGTTTCCATCCACACAGGTCGACGGTCGACGTGTTGTGGTTTCTTGGATCCGCTCAGGTGGCGATGAATCTCCAGAGGCTTGACCCCTCACAGCCATGACACTTTCTCTTGTGCAAGAGAGTAACATGAGACATGGGATCGTGTCACCCCTTGCTTCTCGACTTGGGGTACCGGGATAGCATTGTCATCCGTTGTCTCATTGTACATTTTCTTGGAAGATGACCATTGGCTCATCCTGTTTCGCAATGGTGAGCAGCGGCTGTTCGGCTTTTCCAGGCCCGTGCTCGTGCAGCACTGCTTGCAGCTGCCGGCGGAGACAGAGCCTCAGGTACAGCAGCTCTCAGCCTACCACTCAACCTGCACTGGTACCTTGATTTTTCCTGGCCTTGGAAAAACCGAAGCTTGTTCAGAGAATCCCCAGAAGATGGATGTACTTTGGTTGTTTATGCTGCTGCTTATTGTTGTTTCATGTTGATAGTGCCAATCTAGCATTCCTCCCAGAGCGGTGTGTGTCCAGTATGCCAGTAAATGCCGATACGATTTAAAGCTGATCAAACTCTTCAGCGTCGGCATTCGGTTGTAAGGTCCCCGCAAATGCACCTGAAGCTCCGGCGCAGGCGCAGGTTGGCCAACCTTTCAATTTGCGAGACTGATATTTGTTGTCTGGCAAGTCTGGATTGCCTTGCTGCACCATTTGTTGGAACGAACAAGAGCACTTTCTTTACTGGGCTGTTCATAACCAATCCTAATCCCCCACCGGATTGCGGATTAGGCATGTTTACGGAATAGGTGGTTCGCGCGGATTGCGGATTAGGTTGGGGTTGGTAGCAGGATGGAAATAAGGTGGCCCTTTCTGAGATATTCTGAAATAATGGATTATTTGTGGATCGCTAGGATCTATCGTCATCCCATTGCTTTTCCCACACTGGTACTATACTAGAACGACTACTGCTAGTAGGAAAACGACCACTACTATCACTAC